AATACGAAATAATTTAACACTTGATCAATCATTTCCTAAAATAAATCTGTTTTTTAATAATACAAAATTTTCTGGTGATTTATCATCAGAATTAAAACGAGAAATGTTTAAAGCAGAAAAGGAAACAGATCAATATCAGTCATCCTTTTTTTTTTAGAAACATAAGTTTTGATCCCAAAATAGATAAGTGTTTTTTTAGAATTATCCGATGTTTGCTTCCGTGATGGTGTTTAAATAGACTGAACACTACCATATCTCCTGTCGGGAGAAGCACAGTCTCATCATTAAGTATTCAGTCAATTACGGAAGCCCCAGTGATGCATGTTTTCTGTGTAGAATATTGATAACAGTCACAATCATTAGATCACCCGGGATTTTACCCATGGTCATGTTTTATGGCCGGTGAAGCCCCACACATTTGAATATTTTGTACGATTTGTTGTGGGACAGACATTTTGTTTTCAATGGTATGTTCATTTAACTCTGTATACCCTGTACTATAGGTCTTTGATGTAACCTCATACATTATTCATTTACATCAACTAAATGTATAATTTTACAACCAAATGTTTATTCGCTGGCAATAAAGGTGACATGATAGCTAGATAGGACAATTGATTTGAGCTATTTTGTGTGCGTGAAAACTACTGCTAGCAAGTTTTTGTAAATGAAATAGAACAATTGATCTGGGGGATTTTCTGGGACTGTTTAAAGGTGAGCAGTTTTTCCTAAGGGTTGGTGTAGCCTGATACAGTTTTTACTTGTAAAACATGGCATATAAAAACTATCATTGTGTACACATCAGGGTTACATACTGACATTTACTTGGAATCAGAATAACGGACGTTGACATTTGTTACGTTCACAAACGCTGTAAAATGTGCATAAACTGCAAAACATATAAACAAAGGGAACACTATAGATTACCATACTGAACAGGTATATGTAGATCTAACCTTGACCATCGGAGTCACTTACATATATAAATATAAAATGTATATGAAAATCAGTCGTCAAACAAAACAGGACCCAGACCTCTAGAAATAAATGTTGGTTATATTTCTGTCTGTACAATAGGGGGGCTTAAAGGAACCTGTAACAGGACTTGTACGTGAATCGTGTGACACGTCTTTTTATTGATGTATATAAGTCATAGTAGCCGTCACCTGCCACATAGCTTATAGATGTTTTTCACAATGTTAATTTTCTATGAGTTGAGGTAAGCTGGTACATCGGTCATTAAGTCTGATGTATGGAGCACTTCAAGTTACCTGTACAACACAGTGCACTACCGAGAATAAAGATTTCATTATTCACCCAATTATTTATTGAGTCATTTAAAATTAAATTAAATTAAATCCATATTCATTTTAAGGACAATACATTCAGTAATAAAGTATAAATCATAAACAACTGATATTTGATAAATATTTAAAAAACAAAATTATATTGTTGTTATAGTGATTATGGAATTTTATGAAATCGGAACACCTACCATTAGGATGGGATGATCCCTTAAAACTATTTAACAGATGGTATTACAAGACGGACCAAAAATCAAGCTTTAATGTAGCAAAGCGATTGTGATATTCATACAAACACACAGCTGTGTACATGTGGTGTAAGCAATACAGATCAAATTATGATCATTTGTACTATCAGTTAATTTGAATCAAGTATATTTATTTGTTTGTATACCTGCATTAATTTAACATTTTGAAACATTAATTTAACATTCTAATTCAAAATTGTCTATTATATGAAATAAATTTCATATTTTTAATAAAACAAAATCTTCTGTACCTTAAATATATTGGCTTAGATTTCATATAAATATGAACAGCAATTCATATTTTTATTCAGGCTTGGATTTACTCATTTCTGATAATGTTGAGAAATACACCGCTTACATAAATGTCAGCATGGTCATAGAAGTGTTAATGTGAACACAGAAGGGTGAATTATCAGCCTCATCACACAGGTAAATATGCTGGAACCTGTTACATGTGACACCTCTGTACAAGTTAATGAGCTACCAGCAGGTGTCACCAAAGCTATTGTTTTCTCACCTGTTTGTTTGACCCGTTGATTTTGTCGCCCAGACCTGTTAGCTGACCATTGTATCTGGCCAGAAGTGTCTGACCAATTTTTACCTGTTAGCTCATTACCTTTTACTACCTCGTACTGCTCACCCACCTGAGAGACAGTTCACAGATCAAAGGTTATGAAAATCTGTAATTTTAATTATCATTCATATACACCTTTGCTCCAATTTATAAAATTGACTATAATCAAAGTATCACAATACTTACTAATATCAGAAGATCTATTTACCTCAAAAAAGGGTTACTTAATTTCAATTTTTCTTTTACTTTCTTGAAATATTGTAAGAAATTAAGATAAAATGTATACATTTTTACTGCAGACACTGTAGTTTATGAGCCCCTAATGTTTTGTGATAGGAGACCCAAACCACTGGTTTAGTATATTGCTTTGTTGTCAGACAGGACCTGTGGTGCCAAATCCAGTCCCGCTTCATTTACCCTTCAGACCCTTTCAGTCAGTTTTATAGGGATAGGATGGGGCCAATATAACCTGCCAAGCTGGAGTAAAGGGGCTGGAGCCCAGATAATAATCGACAGCCACATGTATCTGTTATATATGTGTGTGTACTTGTCAGGAAACTAATGTTTTTTAATTATACCAACTAACCCCTCCAACTATGTTTTATCATATAGTCTTCCGTGGTTTATCATTTCTACACACACAAGTTATGGTAGAGCTGGTCATGTTACCAGTTATGACAGTACAGTAATATGGTACACATGCTCCAGTATTTCTGACTAAGTGTACACTGGGTCCATTATCTGGTGATAAACGTCCAGGTGCAGGCAAATACTGACAGGTACACAGATATACCCACATCTTATCAGGTAGCCAAGGTGTCACAACTGACCACAGTCAATTCAACAGGTGAGCCAGCAGGTCAAGGGATGGGTCAGTGAAATGATAAGTGACCACAAGACAGACTCATCCCAGTCTATGGTGAATGAACTGAATAAATCTGGTTTAAGCTTGACCTTAAACACATTGATTTGTAAATGTCCTGGGACATAAAAATTGGTTCTCCCTGACCTCAGCATCCCTGACCTGAATATTGATCCTGCCTCTACTGCAAATCATGTTTAACTACAGAAACCCTAATAACACTGGGAATTATTCACTTGTGAAAAAGCCCCAATATCCATTTACAGAGCTTTCAGACAAATGACATGTGAATATTTTATGGGATAATTTATGATTATTTTGACAGGTTTGTGAGTGTTTACAAATCTGTGTAGGACTCACTCCTCCCCAGTGAGGGAGTATCCGAGTCCCAGATGTGAGGGCCTTTGATTGCGATACCAGCTTTACATGTGAGACAGAACACTGTACAGCTGTATCACACTGCAGCCCTTTAATATTCTACAGTATACAGCTATCTGTAGCCTCCCACTATCTCACCAACAGGATACAAACTTATTTTTAAAATAGAATAATTATTAAATTTCTATCTTCTCAATTATTGTCATCACTTCCTGATTTGATAAAAATATGGTTAATTTGGAAAACCGTTGAAAATTTAATGCAAATTTTATGTTTGTAGATAAAAATGGTTATATATATAATTGAAGAAAAATTTATCTTATAGGGAGTGTTTACAATGACAAGTATCTGACCTCTATTTTGTTGTTTATGCATATTTTTCATGTAAATTTCCCATCCCAGAAAGACGGTTGTGACGACATGTGATTTCGTAAGGTTAGACCCTCCATAAAGTGTAGCATCAAGTTACTAAAAACCTACCAACAAAACTACAAGTAGACTTATTCCTTTTTTTTGACTTTATGTGCCCCCCTTGGTAAACACATCACGCGTCTCTGCCTCGGTTCAGTGGTTTTGCCGCGCTGTAAGATTTCCCCCGTATTGGATGGGAAGTGTCAGCAGACCCCAAGTTGGAGGATTAGATGTTTGTGGCAGGCCTATTTGACAGGTAATACAGAGACGGGTATAGAGTGACGGCTCTGTAACCAACACTCCTACCCTGATCCACAAACCCATTATGTCCACCCCAACAACTCCTTTGTATCAAATCGCCCTCCCCCCTCTATTTAAATTCAAGTTGTTTTGTTACTCTGTATTAGAATGATATGAATAAATGAATTTCAATATGAAATGTTGAGCTTATATTTTTGTGCCACTACAGATTTTCCCAAAAAACAACCCAATGGGGGACTGAAAAGCAGCGTGATTGATTTCAATAAAAATATCCCCTCTGTGTTGTAGAGTTATTTATTTGTGCCTGTATACATGTCAAAAACTGAAGTGATCTCTAAGCATCACATGGACATTGTGGAGCAGTGTATTTATACCCACAGCTTCAGGTAATCACAATAAAAACCCAGACTTTCACAGGTATGCAATCGATGTACCTGTGGGATTCCCCCCCCAGTAAATATAATCAAGGCCAGGTAAGCGTTACCTGTGCTATATTACCTGTCACTGGACCATCCCTAACTCTGACCTAGGTTGTATAACACTGTTGACCATTAAGAAATCAGGCCCAGTGGAGGGTTTACCTACCTGACTAAGTCAACACATTTAGCCAGTCTTAGTGGTGGTCAAACCCTGCCATTACTATATATACACAAAACCAGATTAATTTCTGGCATGAGTCCGTGTCAACCAAACACACACTTATGTGTAGAAATGATGGAACATTCAAACATTTCATAAAACTAGAATTGATATATGAACATGTATATAAAATATTTAATAAAAAAAATCCAATATGTAATTATATTCTACAGATAATTTGAATTTAGAGGTAAGTTGGTTTATTTGTTAATACACAATATGATTAATAATTGAATCAAACTGAAGAGAAATTTGGAAACAAAAAAAAAGAAGAAACTTGAGACAGAATTATGATAGAGCAAGAGTGAAATATTTATATTTACCTTTGATTTGCCATATCTTCAATGCTTCAAAATCTCTGTGCCAATCCTGAGCCATAGTGATGTGTACCATCAGCAGTAACAGAACCGGTAGTAAGTCCATGGTGCAGGTGTGCTATCAATCCAGGTAATTAGTGTATCCTAGGTAAGAATAGATACAGGTAACTATCAGATTCACTTCAACAGACCTTAAATTCACCTGCTTACACGTTTGTCTGTTAATTAATCCTCCGGAAAGTGTTGTTATTATTACTTCATTAAATCTTATGACCTGATTTTGTCCCTACACATCATTTGGAGTCTTGCCAAATGTTCACCTGGGTCTTTAAGATAGACAACACACAAGTTACTCAGGTAAGAATCCTAGAGCTCCTGTGTAAGTTTACAGGTATATGTATCCTAATGGTGAGATGGAATCACATGTGCTCGCTGTACATAGTGAGGGTATGTTCACTATAAATCCAGGCTCACACACACAAGTAACAATCTAGCACAGGTACAATCACTAGTGTATACAATATCCACAATAACCAGGTAGGATACTACTATTTCCACAACGCTAGCTTTACTAAACAGCATGTGCTGTTGTTTTCATTACTCTGCTTGTGCTGTAGTAAACCTGTCCCTACACATTGCAGCTTAGGGGGCGGGGCCTAGAAGTGCTCGCAGCTGATTGGTCGTTGGACGTGTCAGTTACCACACTGATTGCCAGGCACAGCCTAAGGTACATAGGGACCGAGTGTTGTTACTACAGGTCGAAATTACCTGATAATTACAAAACACTGGATCAAACAAGATAAAGAAACTCATTACATAGAAATTACCTGGATAATTAACAGATATGGAGTAAATTTAATATCATTATTATTTTTAATTTTAGCTCTTGTTTTCATTCCCAACTATCTTAGTGAGCACACCTCACTGTTTACAGGAGCTTGGTAAGTTTGCAGGGGGTAGAACCAATAATGTTTTAGTACAGGAACTATGTACATAGTGTGTCTTAGTGACCAGGTCTTCAGGACATTATATTCACCAGGCAATAGAGGTGCTACCTAAACAAAACATTTTGAAATCTAGTCAATGAACTGCATTACTTGACAATATTAAAGCAGAACTTAAATTAAACATATAAGTTATATAACTTTATAATTGAACAGTTTTAAATACATTATCTTATGGTGGATGTGCTGATTGTAGACAAGAAGTAGTGATTTTATATGATTTTTTTGTAAGTACATGTTATGTACATAGGAGATACCTGATAGCCAGCAGGTGTTGTTAACCTTGATTATAAGGTGTCACAGTAATACCTCCAGGTTCCATTTATAGGTTTACATGAGCCTTGATCAGATACACAACCAATGTGGGGGTCTAACCATACCGGATCAATAATAACAGATAAAATACCCGAAACACTTCCTAAACAAATAAAAAACAACGTAGAAATAAGAAATAGTAATCCTCGTTAAGAATTAGGTCCCCCAGGAAGAAATGCTGAAGTTTCCCCCTATCAACACAGTAGCAAACCCACTCTACCATGGTGCATTTGTATATTTTCATATATAGAGTCCTCACTAATTGCTAATTAGCATCACCTAAATTTTGCCATGTCATTCTACTATATTTCAAATTTTTGACAGATAATTTTTATTTAGATTTTCAATGATTGCAAAAATTATATTGAGTTTTTATTTTATTTTAGTTGTTATGCTAACTTAAACGCAATGATCGTAGGATAATAAATAAAAATGAAATTAAAATGAATTGGGCGTATTTCTTTAAGCAAAATGTAATGTTATTAACAAACTTTGCATAAATGTTAGATCATGTATAATATGAAAGAAAATCACACATAAACATTTGAATGCATGATTGGCTAATAGCATAAAATTAAGGTTCATAAAAATTAGTTTGTAGACATGAAGTTTGTATGAATCATCCATTTTTGATTGGTACCACGCACAATCAACTGCACTTAGATATAGTGACATAACTTAAATACGAAGTTGCCTGATAAAGATAACCTAATCAATCTTGAATTTTACTATTGAATAAATATGAACCTTTGATATTGACATATTGTGTACAATACAAGCAACTCTCATTTTCTCTTTCATTGGCTATATACATACTGAAAACCTTTACAAATTACAATGTATCAGAGTCCTGATGTCAAGAAATGTACCTACCGTATACCTGTGTCATACAAATGTTTACATATTTTTCTGGGCCAAACAATGTATCTATATGTGTCTGATTGTCATACAATGTATGAGCCTATATATCATACAATGTATCCCTATATATCATACAATGTATGACTATATATCATACAATGTATGACTCTATATATCATACAATGTATGACTCTATATATCATACAATGTATGACTCTATATATCATACAATGTATGACTCTATATATCATACAATGTATCCCTATATTTCATACAATGTATGAGCCTATATATCATACAATGTATCCCGATATATCATACAATGTATCTTTTTCTTCCTCTATTATATATCTTTTTTCTTCCTCTATTATATGTCTTTTTCTTTCTTATAAGATATGTAACTACACCTGCATCATATAATGTATCTTCATGTCGTACAACATCTGTCCGAGTGTCAATGTATCTTGATCTATTTCAGGATCATACAATCAAGTAACATCCGTTCCTTAGTCATACAATGTATTTTTTATCTATTATTGGATCATAAAATGTATTTATATAATTTCCTTGGTTATAGAACTTATTTATAGATGTCCGTTTTTTGTTTTGTTTAAATGTTGTGGCAATTTAAAACAGCGAGGAGCTGGTATCTCTCGGGACAACCATACATATCGTACCTGAAATGTTAAGTGCAGCCATGCAACCCAAAGTTGTGATCAGCTGATTTTCACGTCTTACGGAACCTAATGCATGACTCACTATGTATATTCACTATTGACGCAAATAGTAACGCATACACTATGATAAACATACGTTTTACTACGATACACTTGTATAACTACGGTAAATGTGGCGAGGTTTTGAAGGTTACGACAACATGACCCACTGAATTTATATAACAGGTACTCAACGTCTTTGTGTATTCTTCATCCTCATCACATGATGCACATTTTCTGATAGTTACAAATGTTAATCCCAATAAATTCATTCAATATCTTGTGCAATCATGGTTTGAAAGAAAATACAGCACTTTATTTGTTTTCTATCACAGTTGCGAGCAATTTACCGTTGTGTAAACATACCTTATCGCTGCAGCCTATCTGGCTACCCTGACAAACGCATGTGTATCCTGTCCTTACTTTTACAACTAATTTTACCTGTGTAAACGTGATGTGATTTCATTCTAAGTAGTATAAATCCCCTTGCAATAAGTTCAAGGCCGTTTCTGCATACTGCCAAGCTCAGTCCACCCGAGAATTATCAGAATTTCAATGAGTCATACCGAATTTAAAATTAGTCTGTTTGCCTACTTGCATTTTCATTGGATAAAGGGTTTGAAAGTCTGAGAAACTCTAAACTTTACAAACTTTGGTCTAAACTCTCAAACAAACACTCGATCAACCTTTTTCCTGTCTATAGAATTCAAATAAAATAGCTGCTAATATGATTTCTATGTTGTTATACACACTGTGATCTCTGTCTATGCCTCAGACAATATTAGTTAAAATGATAAAATCCTAACAGAATTATGTTTGAAGTTACGATTCAAACAGCATGCACAAAGCTATAGAGTGAGGGATATTTGCATTACATGTTTGGGCATATTTGCTTTGCACTGGAAAAAATTTGAATAAACACACACTTGTCTTTTTTCTTAATAAAACAAGTGAAGTTTTCTGTACTTTTAATTTGCAGAATGTGAGCTTGTGCAAGAATATTCGGAGATAAATAGAAGTTTTCTTGGTTGAGCACTCAAATCAAGTATGAATTCCACTACTAAAATTTACAGTATCATTCCTCAGTATCTTTATATCCCTTAATCACAAATGGAACTACCCAGTTTTCCTGCTAGGTTGCTTATAGCAAAAAAAGTGCTACAAAAATTGCTTTGGGTATCTTTGCATATTGTTTCATTGCACAAACGCAACTTACTTAAACAAAGGGTCGTAACTCTTCAAATAGTGACGCTGTGGGGAAAGAGACCCTATGTTAGTAATTTGAGTTAGTACAGTACTTCCATACAAAATTCGGAAATTGTAGGTGATCGAGCATAGGAGACATGCCAAGGACATTGTGACACAAGGACTGACCGAGTGCAAACCTATTGTCCCCTCCGGGACTTGTGATGGAAATTACAATACATCCTTACGATATACATGCTCGAAGACAAGTCATTGTAAAGTTATAAATAACCACTACTCATCACCATTTTCCCCTTGAAGTTGGATCACACAACTGTATATATATATATTAGTATGAGTTATGATCTGGATATTACAGAGTACGATACATTCCTTGTCAAGTCAGCAGTTTCCCAACGAAACCTTTAACGTTTAATAATAATGTCTAGTTTGATGATAAGTGTACAATGCAGCTTTGGTTGGAATCTTATGACAAGCTTGACTTGAATGTATACATTCACACAAACCAGATGCACCATCATTAGTTCTTCACATTTCTGCACAGTTTAGCGGGGTTTTCTTTTCTCTTTTTGCATTTACATGAATTCATTTTTTGGAATGGAGTCAAACTACAACTTACCTCTCCAAACAAGCACCTATCATGATGTAGGTACACCATTGATAGTATATAACAATACAGAGTACACCTATCCACAAACTGGCTTGTTTACTGTTGTCATGGAAACCCTGGGAACTTATGTAAGAGAATTGGCGTAATTCTCGTAATCACCACATCTGCACTGACGGGTTGGAGAGTTTCGAAACACGGTTCAGACGGATCTTTGGCGCACAGTCGCACATAACAATACAACACTAATAAACATCACTCGCATGCAATACACACGCAAGGAAACGCAGTCAATGGGTGCGCTCCTATCTAAGGGGAGCTCTATGAAGGTGAGTTTAAGGGCTGAGTTTTATCGGACCCAGGAAGTGTTGTGCTCCATGTATCCTGGAACAAACATTTTCTTGTTTCTAGTCCCTCCTCCTCTCCATCCTCTATATTTCCCTCAATTATCGTGCTCTATCTATTGTATGTTTCTTCACCTTTCCAGGTTCTCCATTCCTCTCTCTATTTCCCCTCTGCCTCTCATTCTTCTCTCCTTCTCTTAATTTCCCCTGTCTATTTCTCCTAACCTCCCTACCATTTCTACCCTAACTTGTTATCCTCCATTTTTACTTCAAACTTTCTTCCTGCTAATTTCACCTTCAAAGTCTCACTTTTACTGTCTAGTAACACTTCTTCCCCCTCCCATATTCCCCTCCATAATTCCATTCCCTTCCATTACCAGAGTACTTTTTAAAATTCAAAACCCCTACCTTTTTATCCCCCAATTTCCTTCCTTACCTATTCTTCCCCTTTAATATTAAACTCATTTTTCTAATGAAGAATGAATCCCTCCCATCCCCCCTGTAATATCACGACAGCCATATCCTCTGTAATATCATGACAGCCATATCCTCTGCCGGGGATGCTGGTTAAC